ATGAGATGCGGGTTTAAACTGTTCAAATTGTTCACAAAATAATCAACGTTTAATTCAAGAATATGGGAAAACGAGGCATATGCCAGATGTCCTTGTACAGTGGGTGGGCTAGCTCATGAATTGTCAACGGAAATTCCGAAATGTGTTTTCGTTTTGAAGAGATTAGTAAAGTAGGATTGCAAAACTGGTCATATTGCGATAATATTGTATAGATGTTCAGTTACCGCAGGATGTCGACTTTCAAATGAACTCTTTTCGGGCGGCAAGCAAAAACTATACTCTGTAAAAATGACTACTCAAACAACATGAATGTTTCTCATTGATTTTCGATATGGCTTAAAGTCCGATTTCATTTCAGGAAAAACATGCATAAAACTATTAATTCTTTCGCTTATGCTGTAGACAAGTATGTTTTCTTTCAATGCTATATTCGAAGGAGGGACATGATTCACGAATGAAGGCGAAATTTCGAGTTCCCGGTGAATGACAGTTCGACCGTCGGTTTCGACGATGTCCACCGTGTGCCCCACAGCTGCAGCAGCGGTGGGAGCAGGGACGGTGACTTACGTAGGGGTTTATAGTGCCAGTAGACTTGCGTAGCATCTACCTACACTCTCTCCTCCTCCCCCGCCTGGGCCCGGTGTCGAGACAGAGTCAAGAAGACCGGAGACGAGGGAGGCCGCAGGTGAATGGCTCGGACGGATCCTCACCTTGGCGTTCCACCACACCCCCTGGTCCACACAACAATAACCAGGATTTGAACCAACACAACATAGTTTTGGAGGCTGGCACGGCCGAAGCCGCACCTGGGCGTGCCGCCAACGCCTGGCTCCGATCCCACGCTGTGGTGGGAATGCCATAAAGGCCACATTAAAAAGGAGCCATTGCAGCCTGACTCTCAGACCGCCTCCAATGAAGGAGGAGGTCCAAGATACCCCGTCAGTTGGCAACCTTCCAAGCCACGGCTTTTAGCGCACCGTGATAGCTTCAAGCGCGTCAGATTGATTATAGTGAGGAAAATGCGCTGAACCGTCGACCTCACTCTCCCTTCCCATTCCCACACCCCAGCCACTGTCCGAGCCGGTCAGTAGACTGGAGTGGGGAATGGGCGCGGTGGCTGACATGGTCGACTGACCATGCCTGCGCGCGCCACAGCACGACCTGGCCCCCCATACACACAAACACCAGGATTTCACACAACGGGGGTTGAACGGCGTGTCTCTCACATGCGTGAGAGGGCCGTGGAAGGTGCTGCTTCAGCCCGTCCCCAGCCCACCAGTCCGCCACTAAACAACACACACACACAACGTGACGAACTGCGTGAACCGAGAACGAGCGTCAATCAGCAACCTTCCTATCCGCGACACTTGACGTGTCGGGATAGTCTCGGACTCAAGTCACTCGTGCAGCCGAGGCCGCATGGGGACCGAGTCGAGATGCACACTTCCCACTTGCGTGGGAGGCGGCAGTTGAGTGCATGAGGTGTGTGAGGGTTGACGTCTAGTGGGGTGATGATGTTAGGAGGTAGGGAGTGAGGGAATGTGTGGTGTGACCGGCGGTTGTCCATCGCAGGTCGTTGTGGATGCGCATGTGGCCGAATAGACCCATGCGATGCGTGAAGGTGCGAGGGCAGTGTGGGCAGTGGAGGCGAGTGCGGTGGGTGTAGGTTGGTGCTCCAGGCACTGGTTCGCCAGTCTCTGTGCGATGGATTCGCAAGTGACCGACCAGGCCGATGCGTGAGGTGAAGGTGCGTGGACAATGTGGGCATGAGAGGTCGGCGGTGTCGGTGTCAGCTGTAGAGGAAGCAGTGGTGTTGGTGGTGGCGGTGGTGGTGGTCGGCGC